GGTATATGAACTGGTGTATGGAAATGAATTTGCTCTATAAACTTTCACCCAAATCACAATAAATTAAAAAAAAAAACAAAAAAAAAACAACAACACCCTCTGTTGTAATTCACAGGGTGTGAGATTACTGACATTTCCTCAGTAGTTGAAGTTTGGTTGGGCTCTGGTGGCTGGGGAAAGACCCCAGTTTGCAACTGACAGGAAGTACAAGTAATGATATATAATCAAAACAGGATTTTTTCTTTCTTTCTTTGCTGAGAGCTAGGAGTGGTGGCATATCCATTAGAACATAGATGCCCAATGCCAGAATCCTCCCAGACCTGGGAGAAAGAACTGTAACATGCTTAGAGCTGTGGACAGTGGAGTGGCTATGACCACAGGAAGTGGAGACAAGAAGTGGAAGAAAGTGCCACGCTATATAGAGCAAAGAGCTGCACTGATGAAAACTAAGCTGGGAGAAGAATGGTGGTGGTATGAGTAGAGCTATCTCAAAGCTGCTGGTTGAGATCAGGAACAGTCAGTGATAGGGGCAGAAGCAGATCCATATGGAAGCTGTTGGTTGATAGCTGGACCAGTCAGCTACAGAGCAGAGCTGGCCAGAGGAGTCATAGAGGGAGACAGAGCATGAGTGACAACAGCTGCCACTGTGGCAGCTGAATGGTGGCATGGAACCTGACATCTCAAGCCAAGCATGCATGCCAGCATCTGAGTAGCTGCATGGGCCTGGCCCAGAGAAGGAAAGAGGTAGCAGTCTGCAGGGCCTGACCTGCAAGAATTGTGTGGAGCTGAACTGGCCAGACACAGAAAGGGGCTTCCCTAAGTTAGGGGCTGTCCCAAGCCAGGGAGCCAGCACACTGCATGCCAATAGAGCCCTCTGGGAAGAAATGATTAAAGGACAGCTCATCCAGAAGACAGCTATCCAAGTAGTCGATGAAAGCTGCACAGAGCTGTCTGGTCCTGAGCAGAGTTTCCTGGTTGAAACTTTTCTGATTAGTGCGAGTGAACATCTGTTCTAGGGAGGGTACAGGGATCACCTTTGATATGTTATGGTTCCGTGCTGGACACCTCCCAAACTTTGCACTGTGTATTTCTCTGTTCACATCCATTGTGGTTTTTTGTTTAAATCTTTCTCTGTTATATTAAAGTTGTTACTGCAGGTATGGTGTTTCTGTGAGTTCTTGTAGAGTTTCAGTGAATACTGAACCCAGTATATATAGAGTTGTGGGATGACTAGTGTCAGAATTAATGCAGAAATTGGAAAGTGGGAATGTAGTTGATCTCTGCTTCATTGGAATCAACTTCATGCTTTATGCTGATTGTTATATTTAAAATTA